TTTATTGTGGTAAAACATATATAAGAATTTCCATTTTAACCATTTCTTTTTTTTTTTTTTTTCTTTTCCATTTTGTCTTTTTTTACTGACCGGTAACGGGATCGCAACCCTTGGTGTTGCACCCGCACCACACTCAGCCAGTGAGCGTGAACCGGTCTCCATATGGGATCCGAACCCTCGGCAGGAGCACCGCCACGCTCCCAAGCGGCGCACTCTCCAGTGCGCCACCGGGCCGGCCCCATTTTAACCATTTCTAATCATCCAATTACATGGACTTAATTACATTCACAATGCAGTATAACCACTACCTCTGTCTGTTGCTTTGTGTTGCTTCATCCCCCACGGATTTGTCACCCCACTTCCCCTGGGTGATGGAGACCAAAGGATTACTCAAAGCCCATCTCTTCTGAGCAGTGAGAAGCCCCAAAGTGGTTAACTTTCCCGGGACTCTCCAGCAAGAGGCATCCCTTCCTTGGGAAAATTAACCCTGAATTGGGCTTCTCTTCCTGCATTTATTTTCCAGACCAGGAAGTTACAGGAGGAGACATAGGTGGGGTTATAGTTTAACAGTATAGGCTGGTAACTTTCAGTGAAACAAGCCAGATGACATTCCAGTAGACAATTGGGTGATCTTATCAACACAAGCTTGATCTTAGCAAACATTCCTTCTTACAGCAATTTCTCAGTATCTTTACATAACAATCAGTAACTAGTCTGTCCTTGAGCCAGCAACCTTGCTCTGCCACAAATCCTTATCTTGCAACAGAGACTTATAGCTTGAGGAAAATTTCCAGTCCTCCACAAGGTCATTATTTGTAACTGCAAGACTTTGGAAAACCAGGCCCTGTGAAGTACATATACTTTATAGTATATTCCACATCTGTCTATTTCCAAAACTGTTTCATCACCCTAAACATAAACTCTATATCCATTAAGCAGTAACTTCTCATTATTCCTTCCCCTCCCCCATTTCTAGTAAACTCTAGTCTATTTCTGTCTCTGAAATTATTTTTTCTTTTTAATTTATTTTTTCTTAATTGACCCATGATAATTATATATATTAATAAAGTACAGTGTGATATTTGGGTACATTTATACTGTGCACAGTGATCATATCAAGGTGTTTAGCATATCCATCACCTCAGACATTTGTCACCTCTTCATACTGTTGTGGGGGAGATCACACAGAGGAATCCAAGACCAGTGTCAGTGTTGCAGTTTTACAGCTCTTTATTTGGTGTTACAGCTCTTTGTTCAGTGTTAACAGCACCTTTTTGCTTGCAAGCAAGGAGAGCACTGGGGAGTGAAGTCTCCTAGACCAGTGTCTCCCTGAACAAAGGAAAGAGGCAGTCTTTATAGCCAAAATTCCCACCCAAGTTCCCACTCAGGTCCTCGTATGTAAATGAGGGATGCAGCCCTGCTAATTCGTATTGGCTGATTATGGGACACAGTCCATTGGTCAGCTCTGGAGCCTAATTTGCATCCAGACCATAGGGTGGTGTGAGACGGTTGTTGCCTCCTATTAACACATGGATATAGGCGGGTGCAGGAAGCAGGCAAGCTAAGTTCCAGGAGCCAGAGTTTACTATTAATGCAGTCAAGCATGAAATTTCTGAAGTGGTTTCTCAGGCGGAGAAAAGGGACAACTAGAAAATGCTTAGGGTTCTCTGCAACAGTACTGGGAACATTCAGCATCCTCATGACTAGCTACTTGAAGTTATACAGTAATTTGTTGTTGTTTGTTGTCTCCCTATTTGTATGTGTTTTAATTCTCTGCTGTTCTGTTTCAAAGACAGAATATCTTTTCTCCAAGGATATTACTATTGTTCTTTATTTTTATTTTTATTTTTTTTGTCCTTTTTGAGACTGGCCGCACCGTGCTCAGCCAGTGAGTGCACCGGCCATCCCTACATAGGATCCGAACCCGCAGCAGGAGCGCCGCACTCTCCCGAGTGTGCCACGGGCTCGGCCCTACTATTGTTCTTTTAATTTTCATTGTTTCCTTCCTCCTTTGTCTCTTTCCCTGAGCTCCTATTTTGCTTGTTTTGGTCTCCTATATCATATTAGAGGCTTTTTTCAAATATCTGGTGATCCTTTGCTATACACATATTTAAGATGAGACACTAAGAAGTTATTTGGAAGTTTCTTTATGTGTGGGCAGAGCTTGTCCACTAGTTGTTTTCCCTATAGGGTGATCTGCAGGCTCTTGACATTTCACTGGGAACAACCCAGTGTTGATGTCTCGAAGTGCTCTCACTTGCCTGAAGTGTGTAACTTGCCTGAGGGTGTTTTGGTTAAAACGTTCCTCCTCTGCTCTGCCTCATGTTCCCCAGTCCATAGTCTTT